CACCGTGTGCGCGTACATTTACTGAGTTTTTTGCCTCATGCAACCTTTTCTCACGTATCAAACATGTTTGATCGGTGAGCTATCAGCTGAGCTAACAGGCACGAGTAACTTTCGGCTCAGCAGATAGCTCTCGTGTGCGGCAGGCTTAAAGTGATTGCGTCTGTGCACGGACTAAATTAATGGTAGTATTTTTTTAAACTCAGTCATCGCGAAAATAACTTAACCTGTAATTTTCGTTGCACAGACGAACTCACAACATGCCTGTAAACCCCGCTATTCCAACACATTTGTACAAGATTGTGACGAGATGTGAGTCAAATACGACTTCTGAGTACGAGATAGAGAAATGCAGTGGTACTATCCGTGTGATTTCCTTTATTTTACGGCATACGAAAGAACATTGTAAGGTTAGTGTCAAAATCAGTCCATTACTTAAATTTGACTCTTTAAAATCCAGATCAGACGAGGATGAGAGTGCATGAGAGTTGGTAGCCTGCGTGGCTGACGGTCAGCCCGCCACAGAACACCTAAAAGGCGGGCGAGGTGAAGGAGACCGTCTGCCATGCAGGGGCCGGTTGTATAAAACTCTTAATCACTTTTTTAATCACTATTTTGTAGTTAAATAGTGATTAACTCTCAAATACGCGCTTCTTATTGGATGACGTTTCCACTAACTATAGTTAACTTTAATCACCTTTTTATACAACCGGCCCCAGACTAGCTAGATTTGGCAATCTGCACGGTTGTTTATTTTTATTAATTTAATTTCTTTCTTGCAACAGTTTCGTTCATACGACAAGCTCATACTTCAAAATGTGGCTCCAGTCAGAGATATTGAACTTCTTACTGGGATTAATTTCTTCTCCAAGCTTCCAGGACAACTACAAGTAGAACTCAAGACATTTATTCCTGTTCAACTGTGGTCTTAATTTATTCAAAGGTATCATGGGTGGTATAAAATAACCTCATGCTTAGATAAATTAGGGTTATAAACCCCACAAGAAGAATAGAAAACTTTAACTTATAAATACTAAACTTTTTTAAGAATTAAAGGCCAATTTATTAAAACTTGAAATAATGACTATCCGGTGACGGTGAGTAGCGTTATACAGTAATATGCTCCTTGCATCAAATTTTTACACTCCTCAGGTAACCTAACAGTATTTTCAACGTACGAAGTGCGAGAACGAAAAAACTACGAATTTTAAGCCAAATTATATAATGGCACAATGGAGGCCTGCCACAGGGGCCCCAACTATGACCTATTATATCAATATGTTAACCCATATATAATTTCTATACAGTTACATTCATAAAGTGCATAAACGCGCGTGAATAAAGCTCCATACAGTTGTATCAAAGCGGTCAGTCCACGAAACACGCGGAAGCGAGAAAACGCGCGAGGGAAAGTACGAGAAAAGAAAGCTACTGCTACCCGCCATCTTTTCAATAATCTGAAACCTTATATTATCATACTGCGAAATCCCAGAGATCCAAGTCTAGCGAATCCTTACTGGCATCAATTTGGTATAAGGTGTCAATTACCGCAAACGCGATCTGGGAACGAAATCAATGTGTACACCGACCATCAATGATGTGTGCTCGACAGTCGACGGTTTCGAAATTCGCGTCATCGTCGCGGAGTTGCCGTCCCACATCGTAACGTCTCTATTAAGACTTTTTGGAAACTGACAACTATTTCCTGATTGGGGAGCAAACATATGAAGTATATAATATTAAGTATATAAAATTAAGAACGAAAATATTGTAAGAAGGAGAAAGTTCGCCATACATAGGGTAATTCAGATTGGAACAACCATTGGTTTACTGTATGTTGAGATTTCGTCTCTTACATTCAGCTCTGTTTGAAAGTTATTGGAATTAGAAATTAACAATATTTCGGTTTAAGTTCATAAAAAAACCCAAAAACATCTTCATAGACAGGAGAGTGGACATCAAAACAACCCCAGTACACGCTTCCGGAAAGTACGGAATGTACGTCACCTTGGCTATAGAGCCTCGTTTTCGTGATTGAGACGTTTGGCTTTAACTAATGTCGTATACACGAAAACGAGGCTCTATACCAAGACGGCGTGTTTTCCAGAAAGGTGTATTCTTGTTGTTTGACGAGAACTTCGTGCTGCAAGATCAGTGTGAGCAACAATACATCGAGTTGGACCACCGCTGCCACCCTTGATCTTCATCGGCATTACGGTAGACAGTAGCGCCTTTTACTGGGAGTTTGTCAATATTATCAAGATTGTTGCCCAAAAAGATGTGCTGGATAAGTGTTAGTTGAATTTGGTCAAAAGAACGTCCATGCATCAATGCAAACATCTTTTATCTTGCGATTGTCAACTACCACTGAGCTCAAGGAGGACTGGATTAAAAAACTGTGTTTGTATCAGTTTGTGACGTCAAGGTAATCTTTAACACATCTGACAAAATGCAAGATGATTAATCTTTAACACATCTGACAAAATGCAAGATGATTTTAAAGTTTTTTGCTTCCTTACACGAGCGCTATGATGCAAAATGCTACCAAAATTAGATGCCATTTTCGGGTGACGTCCGTGTTAACGTGAATGTCGGGCCTTTATTTTTTTCGCCTATTAAAAGCTCAAAGGTGAAAATCGGGCGGAGGAGAGACGCGCGGGCAAAAAGGTGAATGTTGACAAAAACGTCCCTTGCTCAAGCTCGCTAATAAATGTCATGTCGGGGACATCTTAATAATGCATCAACCATATATTTATACAAGCATGAGAAAATCTTTCTGAACACGAGGGAAATGGGCAATGGGAAATGCTTGATTCACTGGATGCATCCATGTTTATAGGATATATTTGAAAATTCGTTTCCGAAAACGCAGAGAATTTTGTCTTTGCTTTTGAGAAGATTGGAAAATTTTTACTTAATTAAACACACGGGCTAATCCCCCTCCCCCATCCTGATTTACAACTAAGCGCACAGAGCCACAGGGTGAGGAGTTAGGTGCTGCGGTTAGGAGTGGGGAGCGGGGTGAGGGTCAGATTATGCCGATTATCAATATGCCGGTTTGTATGATAATACACATACATAAAAGTGCATCATAGATTCATGGACAACCGGACGATGATATACATCATATAAACGAAGAGGATGTATTGCTATCATGCATCGCAATTTTGTCCCCGTACTAGTTATTCTAGTACGGGAACGTGACGAAAAAACAGGCTTAAATTTTACACTTTTATAATTATAAATAACTATTGTTTTAACAAAACCTCGACAAGCAGGAGGAAAGTGCAACGAAGACGGCTATTAATATCATACTAGGTTACCCACAGGGCAGTAATGCTGCCTTTGACAGCAAAAGACAAACTACAGGGTGTTGAACGAGTCCTTCAGAAACATCCTATTATTGTTTAGCCTGCATGGCAGGCGGTTCCTAAAATTGGGCAAGCCTGGGAAATACCGCCTGCCATGCAGGCTAATTATTGTTATCCTTGTTAACCCATTTATTGACAGTACCCTACCACTGACTGAGTATTAAAAATCGTCTGGCGTTGGACAGGGTAAATACTAAAGTAGGGGTCATTACTGTGCTGATGAATTAACAAGAGCGTTTGGCAGATAGGTTTGTTAACCCATTTACTGGCAGTAGCCTATACCACTGACGAGTAAAATCTTCTGGCGCTCGACAAGGGAAGGGCGCATAGCCAGCTAATGGGTTAAACCACCGTGGTTAAACATAAGATTTCATGATGCTCCAGGAAATGTAAACAAGCTATCAGTGTGATTCAATTCAATTCAATTTATTCATATAATATAGTATACGTACATACATTAATAAGACAAGCCGCTAATAGCTACAAAGCTAGTCGAGGCGGACTTGTCTGACATCCCAGTTTGTATATTTATATACTCGGAATATTGATTTCTCGGTACATACAAAATTATTTTAAAGTATAACAACCAGCGAAGACGTAAGGCACTAACTACCCTGCGCGGCTGCGCGCAGACTATATAACGACATATATATGTCATCCGTCCGGTCCGTCCGTCATTCATCCGTCCGTCCGTATCCGCGTTTTATCCTTGAACCCGTTTTTAAAACACAAAGTTTGCAGTGCGGTTCGTCATGATCAATATTTTCAAAAGCGGCCAATTAGACCAGGGTTTAAAGGGCAATGACAATGACATGCAGGTGACATTTAACATTGCGTCTCACTAATTAAAATTTGCGTGTTTAATAGTGTTTATCAAAGAAAGCAAAAATATATACAAGACAATCTCACATGTGGAGTTTTTTCACTTACAGTACGTACTGCCTTGTGATGCAGTACAAGTACAAGTATAAATACAAATGACAAAGCATTTGTAAATCCTAAAACATAATTAAATGATACGGCACATTTAAGATTTTAATATCGTATTTCAGCCGCGTTTATACTGTTTGGCGCATTCGCTGCGTTATATTCATTTACATGTATATACACAGAAAAGCATGTCATTGTCCTTGCAGACCATAGGCAAAAAGTATTTGTCAACCATGCACATACCAAATTTAAGCAATCGTTAAATCATATACATGTCATGGAAAGAATATGGAAATAATGTTGAATGAAAGCTAGCATCGCGTATAATATTAAAATCACCGCATATAGTGCTCGAACCACTGCGTATAATTGCAAAAGCATCGCGTATATAAATGGTGAAAGCACCGCGTATAATACTGGAACCACCGCGTATAATGGCGAAAGCACCGTGTATAATGCCGAAAGCACCGCCGTATAATGCTAAAAGCACCCAACAAAATGCCGTTTGATCACTCTAAGCCAGCTGCCAGCTATGGCTTTCCATAAAAGAAGACCAAAGATGAAAGATGATCACATTGCCTGTTTGCCTTATGCCTGACCGCGCTGCACTACGGTTAAAATTCACTGGTACCGTCATGCAATGCGCCAAATAGAAAATTTTGATTTCGACCCACAAAACAAAATTAGGATCTGCTGCCTTGCTCGCTCGCTTCAGGCTCGCTCGCTGCGGCAGCAATCACTCGTGTGCAGCCATCTGGGGCCGGTTGTATAAAAACGTAGTTAGCGCTAACTGCAGTTAAAAAGTAGTTAACTCTTTTTCGTTCGCTGCTGAAATAACCAGGGGCCGTTGTATAAAACTCTTAATCACTTTTTTAATCACTATTTTGTAGTTAAATAGTGATTAACTCTCAAATAGGCGCTTCTTATTGGATGACGTTTGCACTTAACCATAGTTAACTTTAATCACTTTTTTATACAACCGGCCCTGGTATACTGTACAACGCCACAGACAACGCTTACATATCAAGCTGGGACAACTGCTACTTCGAGGTCCTAGAACTTTTCTCAATCATTAACTCTGTGTTAACCTCATTCCTTTTAAGCTGTATTATTTCATTTGATGGATAATATACAACAGGTTTTCTTCTGCAATATTGGGGGGGGCAAATAATAAAGGCCATATAGCTAATTTGAAAAGAGTTTTACATATACATATAGTGACAGAGTTTTGAAAAGCTGAAGTGTTTATATCTGGCAGATGCCAGATGACGATACTGCTTCAAGTTGGTCTACCATATTTAAGTTTTTTTCTCTGCCTTATCGATCTTTCCTTTGGCTTGGT